GTGGGAGGCAGGAGGGGAGGGGGGCACCGGGAGCAGGTTTGGGGCTGGGTGAGGGCTGGGCTGCTGGGGGGGGTGTGAGGGCCAGGGTGGGCCTGGGACTGGTGGTCCAGGGCAGTGCTGCTTCTTGCTTGGCACCCTGAGCTGCCCTCCATCTGCCTGCACTGCCTTCCCCCTGCTTCTTGCTGCCTTCCCATTGCCTCCCATCACTTTCACTTTCACCTGCCTTTGCTCTCCCTCCTCTTGCTCTCTTGTTGCTGCCCCCTTCCCCTCGCCTCACCCTCCCCTTGCCTTCCCCCTGCCTCCCACTGCCTCCTGTTACCTTCCTTTTCCCTTCCCGTTGCCTCCTGTTGCCTTTCCATTGGCTTCCATTTTCCTTCCTATTGTGTCCCACTGCCTTCCCTCTGCCTTCCCTTTCCCACCCGTTGCCTTTGCATTGCCTCCCATCGCCTCCCTCGACATCCTTGTGGCTGTCTTGTCCTCCCCATGGCCTGGCCATGACCACCCTGCCCCCTGAGCAGGATCGGACCCGGGTCCCCCCGCTCGGGCCATCCCATCCCCGTGCCCCAGCTCACCCCCCGTGTCCCCAGACTGGCAGGTCACCCGCAGCCTGCAGGATGCCTCCCGTGAGCACGCGGCCGAGCAGGGCCGCCTCTCGCAGGAGGTGAGCGCGCGGGAGCAGAGCCTGGAGCAGACGCGGCTGGAGCTGGCGTGGGCCAGAGAGGAGCTGCAGCGAGCCTGGCGGGAGGGCAACAGCAGCCAGCTGGAGCTGGGGCGCGCCAGGCAGGAGCTGGCTGTGCTGGAGCAGGAGGTGCAGGAGGTGCGGGGGGAGCTCAGGGCCAGCGAGAGCTCCGTCAGCAGCCTGCGTGCCTGCGTGAATACGGGTAGGGCCGCGGAGGGCTGGGGGAACGGGCAGTGATGCTGCTGGGGAGATGTCGGGGCTGATCCCGGCCAGGCTGGGCCCCTCGAGCACCTGTGGGAGGGCAAGTGCCTGAGCCGTGCCCCTGCCCCCAGATTGCTGCCCCTCGGGCTGGGTGCTCTACAGGAGCAGGTGCCTCTTCATCTCGGTGGAGAAGAAGACCTGGTGGGAGAGCTACCACGACTGCGTGACAAAATCCGCTCAGCTGCTGGTCCAAGGCGACTGGCCGTCGTGGACGGTGCCGGTACAGAGCAGGGGGGCTGCGGCAGCCCAGGAGGGTGGGCACGATGGTGGGGCTGGGCAGAGCCCCGTGGGGCCAGCAGCAGCGGCATCTGCGGACGTGCTGGGGGGGCACTGTGAGCCCTGGGTGCCCACCCTGGCGGGCTGCGAGGAGGAGCACGGCCAGACCCGGGGCTCCCGGGTACCAGGTGGGCACTGGGTATGGGGTGGGCAGTCAACAGCTTCTGTCCCCCCAGCATTTTGTGCAGGTGTATGGTGCCACGTACTGGATCGGAGCAAAAGTTCATCCTGACATGAAGAGTTCTGTTGTATGGCTGGACAGCAAGCAGTATTACTTGTAAGTGCAGCAGTCCATGGCACTAGCATCTGCCCTTTAATCGTGCCAGGGAGGTGCTGTTTCACCCCTGTGAGACTTCCCTGGCAAAGGGGGTGATGCTCCAAAGAGAAGTGCCCCAAGGTGGGGAGGGGGCCCCGGGCAGACCCCAGCTGCAGGGTGCACAGCCAGACCTCCAAGTGGCAGAGCAGGAGGCTGGGGGGAGGAATGTGGCCCTTCCTCAGACCTTACCCAGTGCCAGGCCCCCTGCCTGCCCCAGCAGGACTGGGACCTGTGGGAAGAGGTGTCCACAGTAAGGGTGCTATCACTGCCCCACTGAGATATGCCCTCTCTCCTAGGTACAAAAATCCTGGAGACTGTGGGATATCATATAATGGGAAAATAGAGAGTTCAAAATGTCTGAAAAGGTACCAGTGGATCTGCGAGCAGCCCCCGAATCTGAGCAGCGCATCCAAGACCCTCCTTCCTCTCCTGGTCGATGAGTGACTGTGCTGTCACCCCACTCCATTGCAGCACTTGGGGACAGAAACTGGGGGTGCACCCCGAGACCCTCTCCCCTGTGCACGCATTGCCTCAACTGTGTTGCAAAGCGCTGGGAAAGAGTGTCTGTATTTTAAAGCAAGACTTATGGAAAACAGACCTTATTGCTCTCTCTCACACTCACACATACACTTACACCACCTTGCACCGGCCCTCTGCATGTCCCTGTGTGGCCCGGCCAGCACAGCTCACAGTGACCTGGGACTCCGGTGTGGAGCCCAGCTCCCACCTGCTGTGCTCTCCCAAGGCTGCCGGCAGTGCACTGGTGCAGGCTGTGCCATTTGCATCTTTTCGGAGATGGGAGATGATGGCACCATTGGTGTCCTTGACTGGTCCTTTTTGGAAAGTCCTGTCCTCTACTGGTCCTCTTTTGGAAGTCCTGTCCTCTAATGCCTGTCCCTTCCATCAGCATCAACAGCTCTCTCATCCTGCCCTTTCTCCTCCCTCCGTCACCTGCCCAAGGCTTTGGGCTGAGCCTTGCCTGCGGAGGCTGCAGGCAGGGGTGCCATCAGCATAAGAAACTGCTGGAGACCCCCAAGACCACAGGGGAGATGGGGGAGTGCTGGGGAGCCCTGAAACCATGGGGGGGGAATAAGGGAGCCCTGAGGCCATGGGAAGAAAAGGGGGTGCAGCAAGAAGCCTTGAGACAGTGGGACAGAGGGGGGGAGCACTGGGGAGGCTTGGGAACATGGGGGAAATGGGAGACCCCTGCCACCATGGGGGAAAGATCCCTAAGACCATGGTGGGACCTGAGCTGACAGGCAGGCGATGAGGGAGCCCTGACCCGGCTGGGCTGGGTGAGGGAGTCCCGGGGCAGCGCTGACCCTCCCCGTCTCACTCAGTGTTTCTGCAGAGAGGAGGATGAGGCAAGGACCACTTTGCCAAGCTGGATGTGGGCACCTCCTGCGAGAGGAGGTGTGGAACGAGGCTGGTGGAGCCAGCCCATGGCACTGGGAGGCTGGGACAGGATTGCAGAAGGTCCCCTGCAATCTCAGCTATCACGTGAAACAAGGATTTGCTGTGTCTGGCTTGTCCTGGGGATCCCAGACGTGGTCTCCCTGGTGCCCGCAGAGGAGCAGGCTCCCTGCCCCTGGAGCCCTGAGCTCCAGCCACCACTGCCCACAGTGTCATTGGGCTCTGCCACCACAAGGACACACTGCCGACTCCTGTCCAGCCACTGGTTCGTGTGTCCCTCAGGATTGTTCAGCATGGCTGCTTGCTTGCCCATCTTGCCATGTGGGGTTTCTCCTTCTTTCCCAGCTGCAGGACTTGCCCTTTCCCCCATCCAGCATCAGCAGGCTCCCATCACCCAGTTTCTCCAGGCCCCTCTGAACACCAGTCCTGCCCTCCAGTATACCCACTACTGTCCAGTTTGGTGTTGTCCCCCAGCTGGCTGAGGCCATCCCCATCCTTCACCTGGGGCACTGGTGAAGGCTGAGGCTCAGCCCCAGGATTGACCCAGCAGGCATATCGCCATCTGGATGAGGGCATCACTGATACCCCCTTGCAGCCCTCCTGCCATTCAGGTTTCCACCCACCTTCTTCTTTCCTTCTCCTGGCCACATGTCCCCACTCTGCCAGCAAGGAGACCAGGGGAAACCATGTCCCAGACCTCAAAGGTTCATGATAAATGGCCCCCATTGCTCTCCCCTTGTCCCCAGCCCAGTATTCCCACAGCAGCAGGCAGGTCGGGCAGGCATCACTTGACCTTGGTAAATCTTGCCTGGTTTTCCCCACCCACCAGCATGTTCTCCCTGGGCCTAGACCACCACACACCCAGAAGGACATGCTCCATCTTCTTCCTGGGATCAAGGCTCTTCTCTGACTGGGATAACAAAGCTCAGCTCTGGGACAGGCTGTGGCCAAGGGCAGGTGATGGAGAGAGGAGAAAGGGCAGGATAGGAGCCAGCGACAGACAGTGACAAAGGCAAGGGGCAGCCAGAAAAACAAAAGGACTCCCCGAGGGGGACAGTTTGGGGACACCAATGACACCATTATATCCAGCTTCACAAGGTGCAAGGGGGACCTCCCAAACCAGCCTCAGCAGAAGGCAGCACAGGTGAGCAAGAGTTGGTACTGGCATCCCCTCCCTGGGTCACAGGAGCTGGGGCTGAAGGGCAGGGGCTGGGCATGTAAGTTTGGGCATGACTGTGGAACACAGAAATATGGTCTCTTTTCCATAAATCTTGTTTCAAAATGCAGACACCTTCTTTCCCAACCTGTATCCCCAGAGCTCTGCAATGCAGTTGAGGCAATGGTGCGCAGGGATGTGGCTGTGCAGGAGGGAAAGGGTGCCTTTGCTGTGGACTCCCAGCTCCTGCCCCTCAGTCCTGTGATGGAAAGGGAGTCTCAGAGTTCACCCGTTGGCCAGGAGAGGAAAGAGGGTCTCTGATGGGCTGCTCAGATTTGGGGGCTTCTCACAGATCCATGGAAAGTCATCAAAGCAGTAGGAGCTACTTAACCTTTCCATAAGATGGTCTTGCACAGAGTGGGAACTAGCTGTTCCTAGAAGACAAGGAGCACATGAGAGGTGCCACCACCATGCTCACAGCCTGCTGCCAGCCTCATGGTGTCTCCCACACAGCTGCAGCCCCAGGGCCCCTTAGCCTGGGCAGGAAGGCCAGAGCACTGCCCATGCCTGAGCATTGGTCCCGTGGTCGGGACAGATGCCTGAGCAATGTCCATCACCTCTACCCATGTCTATTGAAGGTGGGAGAGGTGCAGGAGGACAGGATGGAACAACTTACTCTTTAAACAGCTTCTTATAAAGGCCATCAGGTTTATCATGAAGATTTTATTATCTCTCTCCAATGCAGCACATGGCACCATGCACCTGCACAAAATGCTGGGGGGACAGAAGCTGTTGACTGCCCACCCCGTGCCCAGTGCCCACCTGGTACCCGGGAGCCCCGGGTCTGGCCGTGCTCTGGGCCATGTGAGCAGGTGCTGCTGCAGGCGGCAGCAGCCCAGGGACTCGGTCCTTCCCTGCTCCACCGCCATCAGGTGACAGTCTGTGGCAAAGATTGCATGGGGTGGAGCCACATCTTCATGTGCAGAAAAGCAGAACTAGTTGCTTTATTTACAAAAAGTGGTTTTATTTCTGAGGTTGCTCTTGCTTCAGGGGCTGGGGGCATAAACGAGGTCTATCCTGGGCAGCATGCTCTGCATCTGCCTCCCCAGGCTGCAAGGAGCCCTGAGAGCCCGTGTGTACTGGCCACAGTGGGGACCTGCTGCTCCATGCATCACCTTTCCCATCCCAGCCCCTGCTCGGGAAATGGGATGCAGTGATTGTGGGGGCTTAGTCCTCCACATGTGCCAGGAGGGACTCGAGGCATGTCCATGCCAGAGCGGTGTGCTGCTGGCAAAACCCAGGTGGTCTGTATTGAAACCATAACAGCCCCCATGACCAAACTCCTCCAAGCCAAGCCCCAGCAGGCCTTTTACGCTCTCGCACATCACCCAGCCTCAAAGGAAAGTGAGGGTGTTTGCTGTGACCTTCTCAGACTGGGCAGGCACCAGGAGACAAACTGCTGCCCAGCCCAAGCCTTCCATGGGACTGGGGAGGCAAAGGGTCACCTCTCAGCTGCCTTTCCCAAGAAGCATAAACCCCAGGCAGCCACCATGACCAGAAAGCCCAGAGCTTTGGGGGGACCTGCTCCAGCCTGCACAGGAGCTGCTCCACACTGCCACCAAGCCATGGGGACACTTGGGTGGATGCTGGCTCCCAAACACTTCCTTCAGTGCCACAGCAGCTGCAGTTTCCCACTGGGCAGCAATGCAACCGAGTCAGTGAGCTGGAGGATGCTCCTCCATCCCACCACCTTCATCCCCCAAAGCCAGCCACAGCATCCAAGTGCCAGAGTTTATTGGCAAAGTGCAGAGATCCAGGGAGGTAAAGAGGTCTGAGTGAGGAGGCAGCAGCGGCCGGGGATGCCCATGTGGTGGGGTCGGGCAGGGAGCAGGGCGGTGGGACAGGCTGGAGGTCCCCATGGTCATCACGGCCCCACACAGGTGTAGGTGGTGTTTCCCCAGAGGAAGGCGGGGGGTGAGGTCCGGAGCCACTGCAGGGTGGCTGCGCTCTGCTCGCAGACCCAGCCGAGGGCTTCCCCGCACAGACCGCCTGACAGCCCCAGGCCTGACACTCTGCCGCAGGCCAGGAAGGAGCTGGTGGAGCGCTGGATTCGGAAGAGCCTGCAGGGAGAGAGCGGGCTGAGATGGGATGGGTGGGAAGGGCTGGGGTCATCCCATCAGCAGCATCTCCAGCCAGGGACCAGAGGCTGCACAGAGATGCTGCAGGGGCAAAGCTCACCCTCCCCATGGAGCACTGTCCCCTGCCACCCTCCTCCCAATTAGGACACATGCTCTGATCTCCCCCACCCTACCTCTGCCTGTTTGACGTGCAGACCCCAGCCCCATCATGCCCGCAGCACCCCCAGATCCCTCCTGGCAGGGCTCAGCACCAGCTGCACCAAGCAAAGCCTGGGAACCTGCTTTGGGGGGAGCCCCCCCAGCCCCTCACCCAGCCAAGGTGTGGGCACCAGGGTCAGGCCCCCGCAATCTTCCCTTCCCTAAAATGCCCCAGTGCAGCCCTGGGAAGACAAGAGGTGGCCAAAATGTGGAGCACATTCCTGTATGCCAGTGGGCTGCCTGTTGCCCCATCTCCTCCCTGGCCCTGATGCTGGACCCTCAGCTGTCCCCTGGCTGGGGACAAGCTGACAGCCTCACCCCTTCAGTGCGGTGCCATCCAGCCACTTCCAGTCAGACCTGGAGCCATCCCTCTTCAGTCCCACGTGGAACACCTTCATGTTGGCTGTGCGCATCAGGAAAGCCTAGCACAGGAGAGGACTCGCATGAGCTCCCTGGGGGGACACCCAGCCCCAGCCACACCATTAGTGATGGCAGCTGCGCAGTACGGGCACAGCATCGCCAGCTCCCTGCCTGGAGGCTTGGCTAGGCTTTGGGAACGTAGGCCAGAGCCAGGGAGCTGAGACCCTGCTGGTGATGGCTGGGTGACTGCTGAGGGACCTTGAGGTGGTCACCAGCACAGCCCAATGCCCATGGGGAGTTGGACAGGCCAGGCTGGGAGCACTCACCAGGGTGGTGTTGGCTCGGATGATGACTAGCTGTGCCCCTTTGGAGCAGCAGTCCTCTCTGCTCTGCTCCCAGCTCTTTTTGGCAGAGGAGAAGTAGTAGCACCGCCCTGCATCCCAGACCCAGCCGGCCGGGCAGAACTGGCATCTCCCTGCACACCAGAAATACAGCCTGCAGGAGCAGCCGGGATGGGGCAGCTGGCAGGGGATGCCACCAGCCCCCAGCCCAAGGGACAGGAGGGTGACAAGGGGCAGCCAGGGTACCAACCAGCCCAGTGTACTCCTGTGGCTGCCCCATGGAAAGGACCCTCCACTTGCCTTTACTCTGGAGCCCAGGTCCCACATCGCAGCCCCAGCTCCCCAGTGGGAGCCCCAGGGGAGATGGGCTGGTTACATGAAGGTGCTGGCATTGGGCAGGCGGGTCAGGAAGGAGAGCTCCAGGTTTGGGGGTATGATACAAACATCATTAGCAAAGCGCTGGGAATGCACTCAAGATTTCAGCATCACCAGACACTGGTCAAAAGAGAGCGCCTGATGCCATTTGGCACATGGATGCTCATGGCAGCCATAAGCCTGATGCTGGTGGCAGGCCCACGCGACACTGAGCTGCACTGGGGTCATCTCTTCCGAAGGGGTCCCAGCAGTGCAGCCTGTTCAGCAGCACTGGGGCAGCATTCCATGCTGTGAGCCAGGGGACAGGCAGCAAGGCTGAAGGAAGACTTGGTGGGGGCACGTTCTGGAGTAGGGACAGATCGTGCCTCTTGAAAGAAGCAGCCAGGCTCTCTCCAAGCCTTGCCCAGGAGCCCACCATGTTCTCCTACCTTGCAGTGTCTGTTGCCCATAGCTGGGGCTCTCCTCCATGCTCCATGGACCATGGGTGCAGCTCTCCTGTTGTCCTAAATCTACAGCAGAAGAGCACAGGAGTGTCCCCGCCAACCCTGGGCTCCTGCTCCCCGCAGCACCCAGTGTCCTCTCCCACAGGACAGGCCACAGCTGTGGCTGAGGGCGTCCCCCACTTTAGGTGACCTGCCAGCCAAGCCCGCCAAAGGTCCTTGCGGCTTTTGCTGTGCTTGGGGGCCCACCACACAACAGGCTTTCGGGGAAAGTGCTTCTGCCTTTCGGTTTCAGTGTTACCACTCTCCCTCCCTCTTAATTTCATTGCCACGTGATGGAGCGGGATGCCCTGGCACCATCCCCAAGCCCACGCTGTCCCCTCGCCTTCTGCTCCCAGCCAGGCAGGCAAGGTCTTGCCTCACCAATTTTCCTGCTTGCCCCAGAACCCGCAATGCCCTCGGCCCCAGGCAGGAGGTCCCGGCTCCGTGGGCAAGCTGCAGCTCTGTCTGTTGCTACACAGGCCCCATGGTGCCAATCCCAACCCCAAGACCCCAGCCAGAGAGGTCTTGGCACAAGCAGATACTCACAGTGGAAGCTCAAGCCAGCGAGGATGATTTGTGCCAGCAGGAGCAGCAGGGAGAGGAGAGCCAGGCTGATGGCTGCCCAGCACCAGGGCAGCCGCAGCGGCTGCTGAGGAGCTGAGAAAGGGAGTTAACTTGAGCCCTGGGGGCTTGGTGGGAGCAGTGGGGACCCCCCCAACCAGGAAAGGTCTGTGAACCCTGGGCAGGGTCTCAGGACGCAGTGGGGGAGACCAGGAAAACTGAGGGAGACCCTGTTTGCAGCACTTTTACCCTCCTAGAAATAATTTCCCTGCAGACAGCGCTTGGCACGGGGTGGGCAGAGTGGACCGAGGGGTGCCTGTGTGTGCTGTGGCACTGGGGTGCAGTGGGCATCCCCTACCCTTGAGCCCTTCCTGCCCCCCACCCTGAGAGCAGGCAGTCTGCAAGGGGGCTGGAGAGTAAGCTGTTTGGGAAGAAGATACCCGAAAGGAGCGAGCGGGGGG